TCCCCCCCCCCCCCCCCCCCCCCCCTCCTCTCCTGTACTTCCTCCCTGCGCAGTACATCCGGCGACACGTCAACCTCTTCTCGGTGCCGCACACGGTCACCGAAGACCTAGCCAGGCAGCCCACGGTCACTGTTAAGAAGATAACGCCTGCCTCGGTCCGGGAGTTCCTACGCCGGTCCAACGGCGTTTCTTCCCAGGGCGACTTGGGACGGGTGGTCGACTTCTTCGGTGGTGGCGGCGGAGGCGTCGGCAACAACGGCGGTGGCAGGGGAGCCGCTAGCGCTACCGGTGGCGGCGGCAGCGGCGGCGGCGGCGGTCAGCAAAGGTCCGGTGTGGGGCCGGCACCGCCTCCGGACACCGAACTCTTGCTTGAGCTGCTCGAGTTTTGCTTGTCCGACTGCCGCCCCCCCGAGGGGGAACGACCGTCAGGCGTGCCCGCTGGTCGGGCGGGCGTAGAAGCGGAGGCGGGAGCGGCGGCGGGGGCGGGAGGGGGCCAGGAAGAGGTGGACGCTGAGGCGGTGGCGAGGAGCGAGGCTCACGCGGCCAGATTTGTGAGCTTCGGAGTGAGGGATTGGGATTGTTTTTTCCGAGAGAGAGACATAGAGAAGTTTGTTTGTTTTTTTGCGGGATGTTGCCGTGCACGTCGCGTATGTGATTAATTACAAGACCTATGCAACGACCGGTTCGCGTCTTGATCTCGGACTTAAGCTCCGTTTCAACTCCCGTTCGCCGTGGGCAGGCCTTGGGCCAGTGGCAGTCAGCCATGGACAAGTGCAAGGTCGTCTGGAAGGAGCTCCAGGGGGTGCCCCTGCTGCCCCTCGCCAACGGCACCGCTGGCAGCTTCCCGACGGCCTTCGCCCTGGCGGGAAGGAAGAGGTTCGTTGTGGGCACGAGGCGGCAGCAGGGGCTGCTGCCCAAGCTCGCGGACCGGTTCGTGCACCTCAAGGCTACCAGGAGGCTGGCCAGGTTCTTCGAGCGAGATGATTTCTTGGAGGTGAACAGCAGCAGCAGCAGCAGCAGCAGCAGCGTGTGTGTTTTGTCTACGACCGACCAAAATAAACCAAGTCATTTCGCAGCTGTCATGCGTACTCAAGAAAGTGAGCACAAGATGCAGAACAATCTTGGCGTGATGCAGCGCACCCTCCATGGAACTCGCCGAAAAATACCTCACCGCACTTCGCGCTTGGTGGTGATGTGAGGGAATGGTGCGGTGAGAACACGGCGTGCTCCGTCCCGGCTTTGTAGGGATGCGAGGTCAATGGTCTAACGTTACGGCATGCACGGCTATGGGTACACCCCTCTCCCCCTCGGCCATCGATGATGGGTCCTGTGGGGAACAGTACTCCGTCCTCTCGAGGACTCATGGTCAATGGTCTGGCATGCAAAACATTACCCCCCCCCCCCGTCCCGCCCCGTCCCCTCGTTTTGCAAATCGTTTTCAGATGATGGGCATCGTGCGTTTCTCCCCGACCCTCCTTGCCGAGAACCTCGATCAAGTCCTCCCCCGCACCTGGCGGGGGGAGAAGTTCGTGGGCTGGGGGGGGGGCTCGGCGGCTGGGCAGTCGGGGGCCCCCAAGGCCTCCTGGCTCGCGCTCTTCTGGACCGAGGTGTCGCTGCTGGACGTAGCCTCAGTGCCCGGGCTGGGGTCGTGGCCGCTGGTACCCATTACCACCGGAGAGCTGGTGTCTTGCTCGATGCTTCAGCAGGTGTCTGCCTACGTATATGGGAAGGGAGCGCCGTGTTTGTTTTGGCAGTACTGCGGGGTGTGGGGATAAGGTTGTTGTCCGGAGGACCGCCGCCGTTGTTTTTGCACGGTTATGGGGGCCTAGCCTCGCCAGTGCCCAATAATTGAGTCACTTACTTGACACGAACGATGATGGCTACTGGTATGCGTGTGCATGGTTGTTCCTGTGGGAGAATCGTTTTCGACCTTCTACGGAAATCGAAACGTTTCGTAGACCACTGTTTTTGAGTTCCATCCCGTATTACGCTGACACCGTTCAACATTACCACGGAGGGGGACGAAGAGTCCGTTTTTTAATTGTTGTGGAGTACATTAAGCGGTGTAGAACAGATGAAAACTTGTTGTGGTTGAGCGTGCGCTCAAGAGCACCTCCGCATGCGGGAGGCCTGAGTTTCGTCTTCCTCCTCCTGCTCCTGCTGCTGCTGCTGCTGCTTCCCTTGTTTGCTCCATGTCTGTGTCTGCAGGTTGTCCGAGCGTGCCCGAGCATGCTGAACGAGGTCAAGCAGAGGGGCCTTGGGGTTGCCCTGGCTGCCATGGAGCGTGCGGAGAAGGCTGCAGACGAACGGGATGAGGTATACTACTCATAGTGAAGGGTGCGGGATTGAATACTTCATATAATAGTACCGGGTGGAATCACCTGCCGCAGATGGGACCAGGGGGGGGGGGGGATGCCGGTTCAATACAAAGCACCGGTGGCATGAGGTGACACAGATGGGAGTTTTTTTGTTTACTTGTTTGTGACGGGGCCCGCCGTTTGGGCGGTTCTCTTGTGACTTTGGCTGGCACACACACGCGCTACTGAGAAATCCCTCCCCCACTGCGGGTGTTGTTTGCCCACCTACCGTCGAGGTGCTCAAAGGATCTGTTAGACGTGTATACCGCGCTGCATGGCACCGCCGACCCCCGTTCCCCCGGTCCCCATCCGCCGTCCCCCCGCCCCCATTGTCGGCCCCCTTGCAGAACGAGCTCCAGGAGCTCCTGGCCCGTCAGGCACAGGAGGCCGACCCGGGAGGTGAAGAAGGCGACGGCTTGGAGGAAGACGACAACTACGACGACGAGGATGCCGACGACGACGAGGATGACGGCCAGGAGGATGGTCGAGAGACGGCTGCTGCCGGCGGCGGGGTCGGACCGGGCGATGCCGGTGCCGAGGACGAGCTGGAGTCGGTGGGAGACATCTCCCCTGTCCCCGACGACTCCGCCCATGCCGCTGCCGCTGCCTCGAAGCAGGATCGCCCGGCCGGAGAGACCCCCGGCACCGCCGAGGCAGAAACGCCTCCTAGACCTCCGGGGCTGCCTTCCAACAACTCGGCTGTCCCTCCACCCCCCGGCAGCGCGGCAGCAGCAAGCCGGCCGCAGCAGGGCATCGCATCAGGGGTCGGGTCGGCGGCCGCCGCGGCGTTGACGGCGGCGGTATCGAGGGTCGCGGCCGTAGCGGCGACGACGGCGGCGGCGGGGTCCGCACCGGGAACAGCGGTGGCGGCCGCGGGGGGGG